AGGAAAGGAAAAGGTTGTACATGTGATATTACATTATCTGAAAAATTTTTCACATTAATTCATAAATTTTTTTTTTTTTAAGTGTAGAGATGTAACATATCAATTTCCAAAATTTGATTCAAATTCATCTTGCATGGATCTGTAGTCTTAACGTTTTCAAAGTGATCCACATGTACAGTCATACGCTAAACAAGGCGCCCAGGGGCCACATTGCCCAAATGAGCTAGGAAAATGCACAAACCAAATCCGAATTGAAAAATTTACTGAAAGGGTGGGTGGGGATAAGTGTGGGGGGGGGGGTTGAATTCTAATACTACTTGAGAATGCCTCCATATTAATACTGCAGATTACTTCTTGAGAAAGTTCTTGCGAAAGATTTTAAAGTTTGTTTTTTTTAACAGTTTGTATATATTACTTTGTAATAATTTAAAGTTGACTGCTTTTCTGTTATTGGGAGTTTTCCTTTATATTCCTATGTAAAACTTCGATCAGCCATGGTGGCACTGTCCTCAACTAGGAGGTCTTAATTTGAACAAATTTGTATCTACTCTACTTGAGGATGACTTATTATAAATATCACTAATCAAGGCTTTGCAGTACTTGAGAGGAAATTTTTTTTACAGATTTCCCTATATCTTTTTATGTAAAACTTTGATCAGCCATTGTGGTCCAACCCTACCCCTGGGGGTCATGATTTGAAAAAAATAGAATGTACACTACCTAAGGATAATTCAACATGAGTTTCATCTTTCCTGGCCTTGCGGTTCTTGAGAAGAAGATTTTTTTTAAGAATGCCATTAATTTTTCACTAATTTATAATTATCTCCCCTTGGAAGAGGGTGTGGCCCTTCATTTGATTAAACTTAAATTCTCTTTACCCAAGGATACTTTGTAGCAAGTTTGGTTGAAATTGGTCCCCAGTGGTTTCTGAGAAAAAGATGAAAATGTGAAAAGTTTATAATGACAAGGACAAAAACAGACAATGGACAAATTTTGACCAGAAAAGCTCACTTGAGCCTTTGTCTTAGGTGAGCTAAGAAAAGGACAATTTCTAAAAACTGTAAAGTGAATAATCTCTTTAGGAGTCTACTTGGATTGTAAATTTTGCCCCGTACCTGTCTGCCATCATTTGTCAGAGCCTGCTGAAAGCCTATAATCTGTGTGGTCTTGGTCCCTGTACTAGCGTTATGGTTAAACCTAGAGACTAAAATTATATAAAACCATAACGTTTCAGATCTGAAGCTAGACATCACCAGACTAAAGATTTATCGCTGAAAACCAAAAATTAGCCTAAAAAAATCGCATGAAAATTTTCCAGGGCCAAGGGTGGGTAGCAAAAAATACCCAGGTATAAAGATAGCTCTCTGTGCGTGAAAATTTTCAGACTATGTATAAAAGTTATTTTACCTTTTTACTTTAATTAGGAAAAATCTTAACAGAAGTATAATAAACTGTTTTATTAAGCTCTTGGACATCTAGTCACCACCGTACATACCTCGCCGCCATATTTAAAGGGTTAGTTTCGCATTTCTGAAGGTGAAGGTTGTCTCTTCGGGAGCAGCAATTGTAGCGAATACCATGCCATCTGGCGTCATAATGCGGCATCAAATTCGTACTACTTGATTCGTCTTCGTTGAAAGTGCTTCATGGATTGCATGAAAGAATTTACGGTTTTAATTCAGATAATGATAGTAATGTGTTTAAAACTATGTATCAATGTAAAAGAAAGAAGAAGGAATTTACAAGAACAAAGCAACTTAGATATAAACATGAAATAAAGAATGAAAGAAGTTTAAAATTAAATGTAAGAAGCACGAATACGAAAGCAATGAAGTGACATATAATTGCAATAATACTAAAGAATAAGCAAGATGACAGAATTTAAGAAGAATAAAGTGACATATAATTAACACAATACCAAAGAATAAGCAAGAAGGTAGAATATGAGAACAATAAAGTAACATATAATTAATATAATAACAAAGAATCAGCAAGTAAGCATAATAAGAATAAATGCAAGACGCATAGAATTATGGCGGTAATTCCCTTCCATAATCCCACACGAAAATTTATATGACTATATATTGAATAGGGTTAGTTTTAAAACAACGAAACTAAATGCACACGAAATTATTTTTGATGACAAATTAAAACAATGAAATTTTATGCCCATGAAAATTTGTGCTTCTACAGTATGCGATGAGGCACATCATTTGGTATGATTTATAACTCGGGTATTGTTTGTTTGCCGATTTAGAGGTTAAGCCAGTACGAAAAATAAGATATCTTTTTATACCGTGACCGGCTTTGGCATGAAAATTCAGTTTATACGATCACACTCAAAGGACTGGTTTCTACGTTCCGTACTGAGAATCGGAAACGCAGCATATTGATAATTAAGTTCCGTGTTCTAGAACAAAGCCTGCTATAGACTTGTAGGGTAGGGAGTTGATCCTTACATCGCGAGTTCGAATCCAACAGTGGGACGTGGAGACGGCCCCTCAGATGAGACCTTATAAAAACTAAGGTCCCGTGTTGAAGTAAATGCTGGCGCAAAAAAGATTCGTTTCCGCTCGATGGCCCTAAGTTTTGAGAAAAGGACAAAATTTTTAGCCCTCAACTGGCAAGTAGTGGCGTCTCTACGTGTTGGTGGATAAAGCCCCAAGGGGAGATTAAGAAACAATCTATCAATCTAGCCAATATACAGGTTGTAAATGTTTCAATTTTTTTTCCAAGACTCAAATGTATATGGAGATAACGAACTCTATGAAAATCTCACGAGTCAAAGTCAAAGCAATCATTTTCTATATCATCGTTTCTAAAAAAAAAATTAATCTTGCTTTGAACACTGACAACATCTCACTCGTGTTCAACATTCAATCAAGGAACAGAAAAATGTTTTTTTAAATAACAAGTTAAAACAATGAAATATATGGAGATAACGAACAATATTCGAGTTAAAAACTGCAAAAGTTTGCGATTGCAAAATGGGAACAGCGCAAACACGGACCCCTAAAACATCAGATGCGGGATCAAATGCCATTGAGGATTGAGCGTCCCTGCAGACCGGTCACACCTGCCGTGTGCTTCTTATCATGATAGGGAAATAACGGAAAAAGTGTGTAAATAATGAAGAAACAATTGCGATGAAAAAATCAGTCAGCATGTGACTCAGTGATAAATTGTAGCTGATGACAAGGTCATTGTATCGACAATAGAACCTACAAAATGATGACTTTAAAAGACTGGTAATGAACAAGAAAGATTTCATACCTTCACAAGTTTTACCCACTCGGCGATAATTTTTACAGCACTGCAGCTCTCTAAATATTAAATTTAAATATTCAAATCGTAAAAGTATACAAGAACAGTAACGTCAAGTCAATCTGGTCTCATACCTTACTCATTCCTTAATTTATTAAATTTATTAAGATTTTAAGCTTACCCAGTAGATGTACTTGGACAAAATCCAGGTTTATTTCCCGTGACTGAATTTACTGCATGAGTTAGCAGAATCAGGATAAGATAAAATTCCATGAGAAACAGGAATTATAGAATAACACTAAGTATGATTATTGAATGTGTAAGCAGTCTTTATAGATTTTGAATTTAAGGTATAAGATATATATATATATATATAACGTAGATATACAGGAAAATTTATAATAATATTAAACAACAAACATAAAACAATTAGGTACTCTTGTTATTTGACCTATGGAATATATTCAATAACAATTGGCGAATAATAGCGCTTTTCAGATAATTGGAAACACTTTCCAATATTTGCCTTTTAAAAATCTTGCACAAGTATTCACTTGATGTTTTCTATCTAAATATAAAAAGAGGGGAATAACTTATTTCAGGAAAATTTAAAAAAGTTTCATATTCTGCCCTTTTTACCTTTACCCCCCCCCCCCTAACGAAAACAACCGTGAAAGGTTTTTATAGGGTATAGTTTAAATTGTGAAAATCATTGAGATAACATATAGTATTCAAGCTTATAAGTCTATTAAAGAAAAGAAAATGGAGCAGAGCAAGCAAGGACCTGAAAAACATCAGATGTTTGATCCGGTTCTATGGAGGAGCGAGCATCTCCGGCTGACCTGTCACACCTGCTCCTTGTTTTCCCTATCATCAGAAATTAACGGACAAATCCGTCTACAATTCAGTGTGCATATGATGGCGAAGTGTTCGGAATACGACAATGTCATTGATTCTTTATGTTCTAGCATAGTTGAATACCACGCTAGATGTAACACATTATTTCACTTTGTGATATCTTTAGGGAATTTATTTTATTTGATAAATATTTCTCATACATATAAGGCCTTGTCTCTATTTGTGTCCTTATTTTTACGAGGGCAAAATACAACACAAAACCACAAATCATGGAATTTAGATCCTCGAAGTCTTTAAAATCTTTTTACAATAAATTGTTACAGGTGTTCTTTGAAAGTTTTTGAAAGCAGTGAAAACTCGTTTCAGTATTAAAAAATTTAAAAAGACTCTCCCTCAAAAGTAGGGACGATATGCACTTTTAGAGAAAAATGAATTGTCACTTTTGCATAGCTTTTTTGCAGATAAATTTTAAGTATAATTTTTTATGTCATATGTCATGTTGTTTTGATAGCTAGCTGACAGATTTTTATGTCATAGAATACGTACAAGATATGCCATGGTCAGTGACAGTTAAAAATGAAATAGCAATACTGTATAAAGTGTTATATTCGCCCCGTGTTATTTTCGCCCTTTTGCAAGGAATTTAGGCTGTGTATTTTGAATTCGCACCTTTTTAAATTCGCCCAATCAGGAGGAGGGCGAAAGGGGCGAAAATAAAACGGGGCGAAAATTTCCCTGTTTACAGTAATTTATTATCATTGTTACTTTTTTTCTCTCGAAATGAGAGTTTCAACAAAATAGATCGCATGAATAACGTGAACATAATGATAAATTAGCTTTTAAAGCTGTCGTGCAAATGTTGATCATGAAACAAATGTTTATATTACAAAGTCTTTGCAGTTTCTCAAGATTAAAGTATCATAAGGGCCATCCTCCACATCACCACAAAATTTGTTACTTGAATCAGTTTCCTTAGGAACGGTTATCACTAAATCATTTTTTAGTGTAAGTCCATAAGCCATATTGTTTTTCTGCATTCTTGTAGCTGATTTCACTAAAATTAAAACACAAATTTAAACACAAATGTTCATTCAAATGTAAATGAAAGATTTACTTGAAACAATATAACGAAACAGCTTTTGCTAACATAAAAAAATATTGTTACCTTGATTTTCATGGCATCGTTTTGATGTCGTTTTCCTGTTTAAAAATGATTTCTAAATAATGGTACGTATCCACAATTACGTTAAACAAATGTTTTCCTCTAACTTAGAATTGCAAAGTATAAGTAATTGTTTCTTACGAAATCAATTATATAGTTATATAAATAAGATAATATTCTTTTATAATTTAACCTACCTAATATGTTTACAATAAGTACACAATAAAGTTGCAAACACAACGCCAAAGCAACAGACCACTGATATTGCTATAGCAATCCATCGAGTCCCACGATCCATGTTTTTATTTGTGAATATATTGGTAGAATCTATTAAGAAATTCCAAAAAAATGCTTAAACGTTACGTAAACGTATCCTAAAAATTACCTGTTTCATGTACATGAAGTGAATTGAATAGACACAGGTTTGGTGAATTATATACCACGTGAAGAATAATCGAGGAATGTGATATAATTTACTTGCTTTCTTTGTAATTATGAATCACAATTATGATTATTTTGTTTCTATTACACAAAATAAATACCTAAATTAAACTTTTTAAAATACATTGTATACCAAAACAAGGATGGCATAGACATTTCCATGGTCAATCGCATCATCATTGATCTATTGTAGCTAATTCAGATTAGTACTGAATCGCAAAAAAATATTCGAAGTACAATTGATTAGCAAACAGAGACTGTTTTCTTACGAAAAAGTGGTTTCATATAATTATTTTATTTTGAAAATACTGTTTAGATTTAAGGATCTGGGTTTGGCCCTTCCCATGAATCATGTTTTTATAGAATATATTATCGCTTATCTTTTCAATTTTCATCATTGAATAAAATGTCATTCAATGACGTGCTAAATACTCCACTTATACTTGTTATACCCCCCGCTTGAAAAGCGGGAGGGTATATAGTAATCGTTAATTCCGTCCGTCCGTCTGTTACGCTTTGGGGTACCCATCTCTTATCCGCAACTCCTCTCATACCACTGAATGAAATTTGATGAAACTTTCACAGAATCTTTATTACATATTGCCATTGTGCACCTCCTATCTTACTTTTGGTTCGACACATATTTTGGGTTTTCCGGCCACAGCAAAACATGGACTTTGCCAATTTAACTATATGGAGGCGGGGGTATCATTTAATGAGCTCATCGCTCACAGTACCTCTAGTATTTAAGAACTACATTCATTTGATTGAGTCATCACTTTTTCTGCATTTTGTGAGTGTATCTTTAATATACACCCTTCTTCTGTTTTTCAATGAATCGTCTTTCTGTGTTATCTTCATCATAATACTAGTAATTTTAAACTTGGGAAAACCAAGCATAACAAATGACGTTCTTACTTACTGTTACTTGTTGCGCATCCTTTAACTGGGTCACATGATGCACACTGACCACAGGACTCTCTACATAGCTTTCCATAATAACCCGAAGGGCAAGGTATACAGTCCCAATCGTATGTCCCCGGCCAACATTCTTTGAAAGTAAGGGTACAGATAAACAGATATTTATATGAACCTACTTAGTAGCCAAGATCGTTGTAAGAATTATTTTGTACATGACTGTATGAATTAACAAATATATAGATAACTTAAAAATATTTTTGAAAAAAGGAGGGGGGGGGGGGCAGATATTTAATCTGAAAGAAGCTGTACATTTTGTTGTAGATAATATTAGGTAACAGTAGTATAAACCTTTTGTAATATACAGGCAATTTTTATTAACAGTTGTGCCATTTGATATATCATATGTGAAGAACTAAAATATTTACATTTTAGGAAGTATTTTAAAATCATCTTATGGTATTCATTCCCTACCTTCACAAGCTTCCCCTACTAGGCGATAATTTTGACAGCATTGCAACGGTTCCCTATGGCATACATAGCATTGTATAAATGTTAATAATGATAACACAATGTACATGTAATGGCAAAATTAGTATTAAAATCTAAAATGCAAATATTTTATCTTCTTTATAATTCAATAAAGTAAAGTGATTACTTTGAAACGTAGGATTAAGTTCATTTCAAATATCTATCAAATTGCTTCTTTTTTTTCAAGGATTATCAATTCAATATCAGGTATTAAACTTTAGATGAAAAAGTTGAATGGTTATATCATTTAATGCACATAAAAATGTTCGATTTTTTTTGTTAATATTCAAATAAACAAAATCAAAGAGAAACAACTAAATAGAAAAAACTTTTTCTGAAAAACATTTGTTTTTATATTATAAACTAACAAAAACAGTATAGTGAACTATGATTAATTATAGTAATACCTATGACACTTTGAAATCTAAAGTTTACAAATGTGATTATCTTAATTTGCTTTAATATTGAAAACAATAAAAAAAAAAAACAATCCTTGAAAAATAGCAATTTGATAAATATTTGAAATGAACTAAATCAAGGTACAATTCTCGAAAATGCGTTCAACAAACGATCGCTTTTTTTGGACTTATACATTCATGCCGTCAGTTCATATAAAATCCTCTAAAAGTGAACAGTATTTAGTTTCTTGGTCACTTATTATTGATCCAAGATAGGGATTCAAGGATTCCTAATAGAAAATTTGCAATAATTGTATTTCAATTTATTAGACTGCCTCATTTTGGATTTACTATGACGACCTTGATTGAATAATACATGTTTTGTTCTAATTGACAAGTGCATTTTAAGTGGGAGGTTATATTGTGCCCATCCGTCCGTATGAAATTTAACGAAACTTTTACAGAATCTTTGCTATATTGTGTCACTGTGACCTCCATTTATCTTTTTGACACTGTCATTCTTTCTATAATATTGAAGGGTACCCAACTCTTATCCGTAATACCTCCTATTTTACTGCATAAAATTAAATGCGACAGAGTCTTTATTACATAATATCATTATGCACCTCCTATATTTCTTTTGGATCTGACACTTATTTAGGGTCTCTCAGAGCAATCCATGAGCATCGCCAGTCATTATTATCAAGTCAGAGGCAGGAGATATCATTTAGCGAAGTCAGTGTTCACATTAACTCAAGATTTATCAATGTATGAAATATGTAAACAGTCGAGTAACTGAAGATTTATATTTTGAAACTGGTTGGGATAATATATATATTGATTGATATTTGATAAAACGTATTTCAAAACCCCAAACATTTAAACGAACTATATTTATATTAAAATTATGTTTTGAATATAAAAGACAAAAAATGTTTAGAAAAGTAGACTCTTGCATATATTTTAAAGTTTACAACACAATTCATGTTAACCATGTTAGGATAAATCTTTTTTTAGTTTGGTTTTCAGAAAATGTAACATAAAATAAAGATAAAATTCAAAATCATTTTATATTTTAATTTTTGAAGCGTTAATTAAGCATACCACAATATCATAATGACACTTGAGACGGTTTGCTTACCCGACGGACGTATTCGAACAAATTCCTGCTGCATTTGTCGAAAAAACATTCCTTGTACATGATAGCAAAATAGATATGAAACAGTATTTTATGTTCATCACTAATAAAGAATAAAAGCTGTTTAAATTCTGGTATAAAGAAAGTCAAAAATAATTAAAACGGAAATGCTACGTAGCCGTACAGGAAGTTTTGGTATTTGTTCCTTAAACCCCTTTAAAACTGTCACACGTGTACTGTAAATCTCATTCAAAGCAATGCAGTAGGTGGTATATCTGCTGTTTAATGCAATTTGCTACAATGATCCATAAAGATATAATTTATGGATGCTAAAAATATATGTAACAGGGAAAAAATAATTTCTGCGCTGTATATTATGCAGATATTTAATATGTCATGGTCTGTTTCCTTGAATCTAGAGAATTGTTTACATTTTGTAAATTTTGTAGAAATTTTAACAGTTTCCGCCATTATCGGGAAATAATACCACACAGAGAGAAGACAGGAGGAAACAGAAATAGACATGAAAAGACAACAAAGGGCAAATGGATGCCAATCAGAGGGATGACCGTTCTAGCGGTTTCACCAAATTAACCCATACAATCATTTACCAGAGTCAACAATAAACATGACTAGCAAACTGCCACTTATATTAAGGACAGTCGGGGTCGAAAATACGTGAGCGTATAAAAAGTTTCCAAGTCAAAACTCAAGAGAAAAAAAATCTTCTTTAACATGCATTTTTTTGGCAAAATTCACAATCAGAAACTTGATTTCAGATTTTGAATGTTGTTCTATTTATTATAGAGTTCACACGACTAGTTTATTACTATTTCTGCTTTTAAGAAGTATGAATGAACTGCAATAATGTGCCGAAAAAAATATCAGATCAACTTTAATGGAAACATTTTATGATGTATAGAAAATGAATAACGAATCTTAATATTACCTACTTACTAACCAAGATCTGGAAAATGAAGTGAAAAGAAGTTAAAGTGAGCTTTTTTGATTAAGCATATGAAGATAACGAACATTATTCAAGTTCAAAAGTCCATAAAACGTCAGCATTTGACTCCATAATAAATTGTTTTTGCTGACAAGGATCTTGAAATCTTCAAAAAAGTATATTAGATCCGGTATTTTAAAACAGAAGGTGTTCGGTCACATTTCATATTTTATATTTTCCACAGTTCCTGAAGCTCAATCAAGAATAAAATAGAAAATGATACGGGGACGGGGATGTCCTTTTATCTTAACTGTATATTAAAATCTCTGCAGTTAATCGAATGCCCCAAAGGAGTTTTTGATATTCCATGACCAATGTTTTTAAAGATTAATCGTTATTAAGTTTCCTTGTTTTGTGCGTCCTGGTCAATAACTTATAGAGATGCATTCTCTTTTACTTTCGTGAATTGCTTTTTTTTTACTACCAGTCTTCCGCGAATGAGTTTTGATCTGCTATCTCAACTGCCTTCTTTTGTTATACTGTCTAATTAGGTATTTCATGGTGAACTTTATACCTTTGTACTTTTAACTCTGTTTCAGGTTTTCATATCAGCTCTTTTAGACTTTAATGAAACATAGAAAACAAAAACAAGCGGCTTTTCATTTCTTAGTTAATTATCAACACGTTTGTTGGGTATTTTGATAAATTAATTGATTTGCTAAGAGATAGATACTGTTTGCTTGTCCTATATTTGCTTGTAAAATAAAGTGTTTTGGGGTTTTTTTATGTTTTGTGGTGACGGATTTGCATATTATTTCGAAACTTACATTTTTTCCCTACATATACGAGATACATGTAGATATATCTTTGTCATTTGTCGTTACAGTTATATATCATTACAATATAGTAGTTGATAATAAAGTAATATGCTGAAAAAACAAACGATCTCACCGAGAAATCAGTTTGATGCGTGGGAGTCAACGTTTGTGGGTAATCAAAATATTTGTAGTTCGAAGGGAAAATATATCGTGGGTAACTTGAATATGTACATTCAGACGTTTCATTGAATGAGTGACAAAGAAATTGTTCATGCAAATGAAATGAGGATGAATCGACTATGAAACATATAAAGTACAAAACTCAAGATCAAAAGTCCAGAAAATAATGCAGAGCAAACACGGACCTCAAAAACATAGGTGGTAGGATCTGGTGCCATGTTTGAGTGAGCATCCGCCATGTGCTTCTTAACGTGATCGGAAAATAACGGGAAAATCTGCCACAAACCCAGTATGCAAAAAATTGACCATCAATCAGTATAAAAAACATCACTCAGCAATTTACATGATAAATTTTATTGGCTGACATGGTCATTTAATCGACCATAGAACTCACTAAATGATCACTTTAAACAAGACTGCTGGTATTCTTCTTTCATAAAGTTGTTTGTCAATAATTTACCATAATTCATATATCCAAGAGATAGATGAAGTTATTAGGGTAAATTGATGTAATTTAATGTTTTATTAAAATTTTCTTGAAATTGCCCAGTTTCAACATGTAACCATAGAAAGGTCTATACATTCTTCAAAATATGGATGTTTAACATTTGTACCTGTATATATGTATATATTCAATCTGCACCCTGAGTTTAAAGCTACTCATGAAAGTTCCAAAGCTTTTTTAATCAAGAATTCAAAAGAATTAAAAAAATCAGCGATTAATTTTAGAAGACAAAATAATTTAAAAACCATATTACAGGTATACTTTGTTTGATTTGAAACATGATTCTATATATTTTGTGTTCTCATCTCCATAATTTTGTTCTGTAAGTAATAAATTTCTAAAGAATAATTGAGACGATGAAAAAAGATCCAAAAAATCTTATCATGAAGTACATCTCCTGAAAAGAAAATAAAATACGCAGGGTAGGGTTAACAATTACCAATAGTGTCCAATTATTTTAGGACCTAAGAAAAAAACAAGTCATATGCAATAATAAAAAAAAAACTTCTGTCATATAAAATATCAGGCAAAGTGTGATAATTATTAAGCATTCCTTATTGATTGAATATACAGCTTATTGGATATATATTCAGCTTCACACT